ATCGACAATGATGAATGCAATTCTGGGTCTCCTTGTGATGCCCACGCAATCTGTACCAACACCGAAGGGGGCTACTCCTGTGCATGTAACGCGGGGTTTGAAGGCGATGGCCATGTTTGCAGAGTGACTGATACGAACTCGCCTAGCGCCGGTTCATCATCTTCAGAGCCAACTTCTACGCCCACGCTGGCTCCCACGAATTTGAGACCTTCAACGGGCCCTAGTCCCAATTGGTATCCCCAAGAAGGATGTTTCTCGGATACCACGACAGTGCAAGTATATCAAAGGGGTCCAGTCCAGATGAAGGATCTGCAGGTAGGAGACTGGGTGCTGACAGGAAAAGACACGTATCAGCCTGTCTATACTTTTGGTCATCATCGCAATGAAACTACTGAGAAAATGTTCTACCAAATCTACCACCATAACAGCAAACGGGAAGAACCAATCGAAATGACAGGGAACCACCTTATTTTTGTATTGGATACCAGCAGCGGGAAAGCAAAGCCAATTCGAGTAGACCAACTCCAAGAGTTCGATCACCTGATCACTGTAGGTCATGCTACTTCCTCTGAAAACGAAGACACCCCAACAACAGTGCAAGTGAGCCGCTTTGCACTGACCCGTAAGAGGGGGGTGTTCATGCCATTGACAGCATCGGGAAAGATCATTGTTCACGAGGGCATAGTAGCCTCCAACTACGTTTCGCTGCAAGAGGAAACACCGTCGATTGTTGAAAGTGCTCTGCTGTTCCCCTTTGTGGATGAACATACCCTGTCTCATTGGTTTCTGTCTCCTTACCGAATTGCCTGCGGAGTTCATTTCATTGATGTGTGTGGTGGTCACTCTCATGACGAAGAGGGTATCTTGAGGTGGCTTACACTGGGGCGCCGCATGGCCCGAGCAGCTGAACACTATGAGTCGTTCGCGTCTGTACCAACATTCCTATTCTTTGGTCTGTGCAACATTCTAGAGATTGTTTTCTTGGGCCCGTTGGTATGGGCAACATTTGGGATGGAACTGGTGCTGTTGTCGGTGGTGGTCTATGGCTTCCACCAATACAACGAAGTGTGACAGCGGTGGGAAGCGTAGCTAGATGGTTGGATATTGTAAGCATGGTTTTGAATCATTCGGTCTCCTTCAGGCAGTCCCCTCTTTGCTACCTAGACTAGCTAGTAGCTTCACCCCACTTATCGGAGTCCAGGTCAAATTGAGCAGTTACGCACATTGATAATCCCACTAGCTGCCCCCTTCGTACCAATTGCCAAATGGCAAACCCATCGCTACCAACTGCCGCTCCCACTGCGACTGCTCCTTTCACTAGCCGCCGATCTCCAACTTCCATTCCGTGGAGACAGCCCCCCGGCATTCCCTTTGAAACTGGAACTGCAACTTCCGCTTCCACTGCCAATTTCGCTCCCACTGTCACTGCTTCCAATAGCCACGGACCTTTTGCTGCCGCTCCCTGAAGACTGGCTTCTTGCCCTCCCTTTCGAGCTGCCACCATTGCTGTCACTGTCTCCGCTGGGTTTGCTGTAGAAAGTGACTTCAAGAGTTTGCAAGTGGTTATGCGATTCAGTGTCTCTTGGTTGTATCATCGCACACAGAGTGAAGTCCAAACGCAATTCCTTCAGTCTGGGTAAGGCTTCCAACTCTTGGAACAGGCAGTCTACATTGGCAAGCTTACTTCCAGAAACCAGGCTGAAGCATTCAAGGTTACAGAGTCGTGCCAATCCACAAGCAAATTGATCTGATGCTTCAAATGCTAGGTCTTCATAAAACAACTCAATTTTGCGAAGAGATGTTGGCAAAGCCCCCAAGAAATGTATGGCATCTTCCACAAAGGCTTCGCATTTGAAGGATGCTATCAAGCTTTGAAGGCCATCGTAATGCGACAGGGCTGCACGGTAATCACTCATGTCCCTGCCTTGATCAAGAGCAAATCTGTATGCTGAAAGGGCAAATTTGCCTCGCAACATAGCGTTCACTCTATCATAACCGGGATGAAAATTTGGTGGGCTTTCGTGTAATGCCGCAGAGTCCGCAGTTGGCTCTTGGCTCACAATATTCGCGCTTGCCAAATAATGCAAGATAAGGTCCTTGTCTGAGGTAACAGTTGCTTCAGCATTTTCCAACTTTACTCTCAAAGCAGCCTCACAGAGATGGAGGGGGAAGTCACGCTGGCGCAAAATCTGTGCTTGGAATGCAGAGAGGATACCCTTGCATCCAAGCCTTTGATCAAACTCTGTGATGCCGTCAGTCAGCCCGATGCACTTGGCGTCTCTACCGCCTGTAGCAGCGTAGACATCGTAAAGATACGAGGATTTCTGTGCATGCAAAGGCTTTGTAATGTGCAGCAGAGGGACTCTGCTTTTGGAAAGAGGCATGTAGAGCTCAAGCTCGCATTGATTCTGGAGCTCCACTATTCTGCCTTGGAGCTCGTTTGCTCTCTTATGTATTTCCAGCGAGTTGGTAGACTCAGCCTCCTCAGAAAGCCTGTCGAATTGCCCTTGAAGTTTGTTGATTTCCTCTTCAAGTCTTGCATTTCTCCCTCGGACTTCCTTGTTGGCATTCTCTATCTTCTTTCTCACCTCCTCTTTTTTTCTGTCCCGGTCTTCCTCGTAAGATATTCTCTCTTTGACCCCCAGAGCAATCGCAACTTCGAAAACACACCATATACGGTGGTAGCAGGCCATACTGGCATCCAGCACAGAAACAGTCCCATCCGCGTGTTGCATTGCTCGGTAGAAAGGACTGTTTTGGAGGTAGGTATCAGGAGTGTTGTAGCCTCTCGGAGGCAGCTCTTCATCTAGCCCATGCTGATTGAGAGCAAGGGCACAGATCCAGTATGTAGTGTTTGCCTTGTCTAGAAGATGGTCTGCCGCGTGTTGCTCCAGGCATGCCACCAATTGAAAAAAGGTTCCGCCCCAAGTGTGCGAGGTAAACCAACGAGGCTTCTGTGGCTTTGGAGCAACAAGCTCCACGTAGCTGCAATTGTATTTGGCAGTTTGCGGCTTTACCCAGTAGTAAACCAAGTCATAGAGCGTCACGTCATGTGGTTGCAGAGGTTGCTGATTCTTTTGAGGATTGGTACTCTTCCATCCATCTTTGACGCAATGGAGCGCAACCTTGGCTGCCAGTTCTTTGAGTTGCAGAAGGGTGATTGCGCGATATTCGGCTCCCTCTATACCTCGGGGTACGCTCGGCGCCACCTCCTCTCGGCTGCTTGACTGTATCAGAAGCAAGTCGATTTTCTGGTCAACGCTATATTGTTGATAGACTGTTTGCATCAGCATGTTGTCATCAAACAACAAGGCCCCATTGGCAAACAACTGGAGCTCCTCGAGAGGAATCTTGGCAATCTTTCTCGAACTGCCGATTTCACAGCCTTTGTTTGGAAGACCTTCGTCTCGAAGGCGCATCTTTAGATCTTTGAGGGTGTCGCTCGTTGTATGAAAGCCAATTGGAATGCACCCACCCGCAAGCGTGTGTATTGTTGCACAGTATGACATGATTCGAACGGTGTAGGTATCTTGGATAGCACCCTGAATCTGATCGAGCCTGCAATGTTCCATTGCAAGCTCACTGACATACCATATAAATGCAGGTTCATCGCCATTGTAACTTTCAGGCAACACTGGCCTCTCTGTTCGCAAGGGTTTGCCTTCGACATAGAGGAATTGCTCTGACTCAGGTTTTCCAAAGTGCTCTTGGATTCGAGTTTGAAGCTCATGGACGTAGGCACACCGATTTTTCACTTTGAGCACGTGACGGTCGTCTTGGCCATGAGAATTTTGCATCAATAGTACGACTGTCGCTTCTTTGTAGTAAAGGCGCAAGTGTATGCTGTGGCACAGACCAATGATATTTTCACAGAACTCCAGTGTCCATTCGTCTTGCAACATCAAATCTCTGCGTAATTTTGTGAGAGAATTGACGAGCAAACACTGGGATGCAACTGGAATGTCAATGGGAGGAGAGGCACTGTTTCCTTGCTTTCGGATCATTTCTTTCAACTCGGAGACTGTCACTGTCACGGGGACATTGTAAAAATACAGTCCCTCCGCAAACCTCTCATAATCATCCCTGAGAAAAACTGTAATGTCGGTCGTCCTGACGAAATTCACAACTTCTACAGTGTCGGGAACGGGAAGGCTACTGGGTGATGTGGAATTTATGGGCATGCTTTCTTCCACCTTCTCCTTCGTATAGTGTCTCCTCCTGCGTTGCTCTTAGTTTCTTTAGTCACTCGGGAATTTCAGAATCCTCATCGCCCTCATCTTCATTCAGTGCTTGAATATATTTTGAAAGAAAGACTGTGGGTTGTAGTACATCTACCGTACCGTATGGCAACACGACATCCATTGATTGCACATTCGGCCTTATAAGCCAACAAGGCTGGTTGGTGGTCTGTCTCTGCTTGCTCCTTATCCACGTCTGACTCAACGTCGAAAATTTTGGTGACGCGAAGGGGAGGAAGTTGGAAACAATGTAAGATTTAATATTCGTGATTGGGGGTTAAATAAATACTGAGCTGGTGGGATAGGTCTTCTCTTACCGATGTTTTGAGTCGAAATCAGAACTGTAAAATACTAGAACATGGTACAAACTGCCTTATTCTTGAGCAAGGACGACCATGGCGCTAATAGATCTTGCAATAGCTCACCATCCCAGCCTCTGTTCATTTGCATTGACCGTGATTGATCATTCCACTCGGTTTAGGTTTGGTGGTGCCTAAAACTGTACCTCGCTGGCAAAAATGCCCGATCTTTGGCCAATCTTCTACTGGTAACGTACCAGTACAGTAGCACCGCAGCTTTAATCTTTCCTCCACTCGTGCATGAGGTGGTCTCTAGGATGTATCATCAGGATGTATCTTACCAGGCACGGTACTGGTATGGGATGTCCGCGCAGGAAATAGCACAACCCACGTAAGACACATCTATAAGATGTCTGATCTTTAACTAAAAATATTTGCCTTCTAATTGGACTCATTTAAAAGGCGCGCCAGAGCAAAAACTGTGACTACATCGTTAACGTCTTATTACCTTTCCACATGGGCATTCTCACGAGCCGAGCCCAACTCCCACCATGATAATCGGTCCTCTCTCTTCAACCAGGAGCATTGCGTCCGCTGTAGTTCGACAGCACCACAGCAATGCCAACGCTGTAATGATGACATGGTTGCTCTGTTGGTCCTGTTGTTAGTTGTGCTGAGCTCTGTCAATAGGCTGTCAATCATAGGGGAGACGCTCACCAATTCAAGGAGTCGTGATGAAATTTCCAAATGGGTTCCTATCCATGAAAACCCGAAGAAACGGATCTCTAGTTTGAATGTTGATCTGCCATCGATTGTGCCGATGACGATGTTCATTGCACGATGTCAGGCCTTCCTTCTTCCCTTCCGCTGATTCCTTTGGTGGCCAACAGGCACGAAGCTCCCATGGCCCCAAGGGCGCCACAGCGGGTTGCGGCACAGAAGAAGAGAGTTGTTACGTGCCGGAAAGTGAGGCAAACTGGAGAATGGAACAAACTTTTGAAAGAAATCTATTCTGCTCTCCATCACAGTCAATCATCAGCCGAGGAGGAGAACCTTACTCTGCGCAAATACTGTCTCTCCAGTGATAGTGAAGTTGGAGGACTGTCCGAGTACAAAAGGATTGCCGCAGTATGGAAAGAGCTCAAATTGGATGAATTTCTCATGGGCAGCACAGACCCCACGGATGCAATGATACTTGCAACAATCAACTCACGCTTCCCACTGACAGAGGAAGGAGAGAATGCTACTAGTGACAAGGCCGGTCGGTCAAGAAATGACAAGAACAAGATGAGATCAAGCAGCGAATGGAAGGAGCTGCTTTCGGATCTCTATCTTTTCCTCTCGAGTGCCAAGGCAGCAAATGGCAAAGAGTCAATCCGATCTTACTGTCGGAAGGTGCTGAAATCAGAAAAGCAGCACCAAAGAATCTCGGACGTTTGGAAGGAGCTTGGATTTGACGGCGCTCTTATTAACAACGTTTCGCCAGGAGATGATCAGTTGAAGGCAAAGAAGCTGGATGCGAAATACCCGACCGACACAACCACAGAGCAACAGCAAGGAAGTCTCCGGCGAGACCTCCGTCCGAGATCCAATTCCTATTTTGATGTCAACGAGGAAGCCATTATATGTGAGGCAGTTGCTGGTTTTGCCCGTGCAGGGTATCCCTTGGAAAAGGCAGATCTGAAAAAAATGGCGGACGCATTCCTCCAAGCAGAGCAACTTGGAGAGGGCCAGAATAGCTCTGACGGTATTAGTTACGACACTGTTGAGAGGCTCTACAAGCAAGGTGGCTTAAAGACGAAAACGAATGTCAACCCAATCGACCCAAAGAGGGCAGCTCAGGCCGAACCACAAATATTGAACGCCATGTACCATCAGCTGGACGCGATGATAAAGATGGCTCATGAAGTTGATCCTATCACTTGGCCCGAAGACAGATACGCAAATATACCACCCAGTCGCATTTACAACACAGATGAGCAAGGTCCCAACCCAACCGCGCTTCGGAATCCGGTTCTAATTCCACGAGAGATGCTACAAAGGGGTAGACTATTCCAGAACACGAGAGAGGGTGATGGGAAAATGCACTTCCACTACAGCGTGGCCAATATCGTTCGAGCTGATGGAGCACAGCATCATCCAGACCAACACGTTGAAGGAGCACCAGCCCCATATATCCTTCTATCCGACGCAGGAAGTGCTCACGAACTGGATAAGATGTCGAAAGCTGATCGCGACAAAGCGTTGTCGAATCAAACCGAAGACGATGCAATTGAATTCAACCCAACCGTGCTTGATGGTTGGTTCGATAGCTACGAGATGGGCAAGAAAGTCGACATCATGAATAAGTTTGGGTTTCAAGTTCGAACAACACCATCCGGTAGCATGCTAAAGAGAACCTTCTACGATTTTGTTCTCCACTTTGCCAATCAACTGCCACACGATCAAGGGCCAAATGGATTTTACCCCCAAGCTCTGGTGACGTGTAAATCGCCACTGCGATAATTTCTATTCTTCGTGGAATCGGGAATCATGATTCACCTTTGCACTTTCGTGCTGGTGTTTAATCTCCTGCAGGGGTAGTACACATTGTTTGGACGCCCCCAACATCCTTCATGCGTAATTTCTTAGCATGATGTTTAGCAATCAAGGTTCCGGATGGTCCTGTAGCCAGTAAGCAAGGGAGTGTAACGGGTTTTGGTTTTTCTTTTTCTCGCTTGTAAATCTAACATAAACGATGTGGTTGAGGTCTCTTGTCTTTGGACGTTTAGAGGGTGGTTGGCCACGGACGAGGTTAAACGATGCTAAATAGATTCATCAGAGTTCTAGGTTGGGCAGCCTTCTAGGCAATCAATCTAATTTGCCGGTTTTAGTGTTTCATTTCCGTTTGCAAAAACAATTTCTTGGTTTACTAGTTAGTGAGAAATCTTCATCACTTTGGTATGAGGAATCGGAACATGGTTCCGTTGAGTCATCATCCTGGGCTAATCCTCAGATGGAGATTTCTCCATCCAAGTGATTGAAATTGAAAGAGGAGTTGTCCTCATTGTCAGAGTCTTTCTGATTTGCGCTTGGCAACATGGTTGCGAATTTTGCAAGTGGTTGTACGAGTATCGTCGATCTCGTTTTCTTCTCCATTGTCGACGAGAGGAAGAATGGGTTTGTCACCCAACTGTTTCTCGAAGTTGCGGAACGCATGCTTTCCTTTAGCAATCTTCATGGTGAAGGAATAGGTTGAGGGTAGCTGAAAGCTATTGTGTTTATTACAAAATTGCACTACGCTAAAAGCTAGTGTAAAGATTCTTTCGAGTGTTTTAGTTTGAGAGAATGAAAATTATTGAGGGGTTTAGAAAGCTATGAAAACAATCAACGAGAGGAGATCATCATCAAGGGATCGTAGATCTGGCCTCCCGCGGGAGGGGGGGGGGACTTATAAAGTGTGATAGAGTAGTTTGGGGTAGTAATCCTACGTATCTACATGATCCTAAAACGGAATGCGTGGAAGGTTTGTCTAGCCTGATCTAGTAGCGTGGAAGTACTCCACGCTGGCTAAATATCTAGAGCGATTATGTTCATCATCAACCTAGTATGACCAGAGCGGTCATTGAGAACCCTGTCTCAAATGACTATTCACGAAGACTCAGTCATGAGTCGAACTCAAAACCCTATCTAGGATCGAGTCGCGAATAAGGCTAAGAGCCGTGTATTGCACAAACAGCCGCGCCAATGCTTCCCTTTTCCACCCTTTAACAGCATCCCACTTCCAGAAACAGTCTGGCAACTCGGCCTGAAGCCTTGCCACTTTGTCGAGGATGCTGCCAATGCGTTCAACCTCATCAATCAATCCTTTTTCTTCCTTTTGAACTGCTTTGAGCTCTTCCTGCTGGTTCTGACGCTGGATCAAGATGCCCGCAAACAAACCGGGCTTTCCGAGATTAGTTTTGGTTCCTGCAGCTGCTCGTCTCCTTGCTTTCTTTGGCTTGTTGCCACCATTGCATCCCTTCATCTCGACAAGCACTCTCATTATTGTTCCTTCGACCTGGTGGCTGACAGCTGTGACCTCTGTCCCCACTCGGGTTACAGCAATTGCTTTCGTTGTATCCTCGTGTGTGACCTCTATCACATCGGAGTACGGCTTCAGCACCACATCTTCAAAATCGTCGTAGACATCTTCGATTCCGAGGCCTTCCTCTTCCAAAATCGTCGCAAGCTTGATCGCAAAGCGAGGTCTCTTTGTTGCTAAGACGTCTGTCACAAGATCCAAATTGCGTTTCAGGCGACGACGATCAGCTTCATCTTGTGCTTTTGAATAAAGAGACTCATTCAACTGTTTCCGTGCGACTCTTGCTTTTTTCAAACCTTTCTTCTTGTCTTTCTTTGTCAGTTGATAGGCATCATCGTCATTGTCATCAAAGCAAGTTTCAAGGATGTCTTTGACTGTCAGTGTTGAAAGATTACGACTTTCTCTTCGCTGCCCTTCAAGCACCAAGAACTTCTCTTTTGATTGCTTTGTGATGTTCACTTCAGCTCTGTCGTCTTTCTTCCTCAATACGATCGAGAAGCCAAATCTTAACACGGATAACTTCGTTCGAAGCTTGTCGCGTGCGATTGCCTCATCCGATAACGTACAAGTAGTATCAACCCTGTCATCGGGGGATACAGACACAAACTTGACAATAAGCTTTAAAGCAGCCTCTTCGAAATCTTCCTTTGGCTCAGGTGGTTTATTGGCGTCTCTGTGTGGATTGTGGAGATACTCTCCGAGTAGGCGCTCAGCAATCGAAGCTGCAAGAAACAGTGGTGGGAGTTCGAAGTCTCCACCGTGCTGTTCGTTGTCGAGCGTAGTGAGGAAATCTTCCTTCGAAATAAATGACTGGAGTGCCTCTTTGTCGGCGTCTGTTAGTGCTGCCCGTTCAGATCTTGCAATCGGCTTGACCAGCCAAACATTGGTGGATGCAAGCTCGCCAGCATCCATTTTCTGTTGCCTCAACAGTTCATTCAACCGGCTAAAATTCAGAATGGCAGCTTTCCATCCTTCGTTACTGTAATCCATTGGGTATAGACCTGTCTTCTTGAAACTGCTAACAACAGCGTTGGTTCCCGTCCTCCGGAGCTCATCGTTCTGTTCGATGCAGTTGCGCTCCAATCCAGCTCGGAAAACTCTGTTGGCATCGAGATAGTCGAGTGGCTTGCCAACCATTAGGCCGAGGCTGTGTGCGGCGAAGGCAATATCTTTTGCCGTCAATTCATTTTTGCCATTATCGCATGGTTGCGACCAAATGCTTGTCTTCGACGGAAGCACAAAAATGAGGATATTGTATCGAAAGAAAGACAAAAGTAGTGACTGCGGGCATTCTCTAGAGCAGTGCCAATCAAGAAACAAAATGACACCCAAC